TTTTTTTAGAATGGATTTCACTGTGCAGTTTAGGCTGCTCTTGAACTCACTATGTAGCCCAGGCTGGCCTTGAACTCACAGAGTTGTTCCTGCCTCTACCTTTTTTACAGCAGGCATGTGCCACCATGCCCGGCTCAGTTTATTTGTTTTGTTTTAAGACAAGGTCTTGCTCTGTAGTCCAGGCTGGCCTTGAAACTCACTATGTAGCTCCAGTTGGCCTGGCGCAGTGATCCTCCTGCCTCTGCCTCCCGAGTGCTGCGATTACAGGCCTGCACCCACGCCAGGCTACTGGGACTCTTGAAAATGCTACCTTATCTGAGCGGCAATTAAATCAGTGATTTGTACTCATAATTTGTGCGTTTTACCGTATGCAAATTTCACCCCAATGATGTGCTAACAAGTTGGGGAGCACTAGCAGTTACCGTCTCTAGAACAGTCTTTGCGCGAACCTCCCACACCATGTGCTGAGGAGCACCAACACTCCACTCTTTGCTCTCTTGCTGCTGTGAGTACGGAGCAGAACCAGCTCAAACACTAGCCCAATGAAACTGTTGAAATTCTTTGCGGAAACTGCAGAGCCTCGATCGCCGATATGACTTTAAATCTCTGCCATATGTTGTGCTCACTGCTTACAGTCAAAAATTCCCCTAACCTCAAGAGGAACTCACTTGAGGAAAACCGAGGGTGCAAAAGGCACTTTCCTAAGGATGTGGGGAACCATACATATCAATGCATCTTTGCCTTTCTCCACGCACGACATCAGGGCACCTGGCACCTCCGACAGCCAATGTAGGAAGAACCGCAGAGGGGAGCCACTAACTTCTGACTGTCCCGCGCCGCACTCGACAAGCCACCTTGATGGCAAGGGGCAGTCCTTCTACTATCAGTAATAACCTCCCTCCTCCCCTCACAATACAAAGCGGGTGACTCTCTTTAACTAAACTCCATGTGTCCAACCTAAAGGGAAAAGAAACTTTCACACCAAAGGAAAGTGACTACCTCAGCGAGCAGCGCACCGCCCCCGGCACTGCGCACGCGCCGTCCTGCCCCGCGCCGTTCGGCCCCTCCGATCCCGCGCATGCGTTCTCGCGCCCACCCAGCCCCGCGCATGCGCAAACTACGAGTGCGGCAGTACCTGCGCAAAGCCAGAGCTGGATACTTTTTTCTTCTTGCTGGCGCCGTATCCCCCTCCGCTGCTGCCGTTGTGGGAAGGGCTGGCTGGCCTCTTCTTGCTGTTCCGAGCTATCCCTGGAGTGGAAGGGGCTGCCACAATTGGAATTTGAGCAGCCATCCTACCCTGCTTTTCTCTTGCTCCCCTCCCCCCCTTCCTCAGCGCAGCCTCTGAAACTTCCGGCTCGCGGTTACTTCCGGCTTCATGTGTGAAAACCCGGCCTGGATTACCAAAGAGTTCTCTGACTTCTCTCGGTGAAATCTAAAAGGCGGAGCTCCTAGCAGTATATTCCATCGGTGCCGGAATGAGTCAGTAGAGTGGTGTCCTGCTCCCCTAGTATTCAGGTCCAGACCTTGGGGCACATCTCTGGAAATCCCCGGTACACATCTGATTCTTTTAAATAACTGCGTTTAAAAACATTAATGACCAGGTTACCTTTTCTGACGTTGAGTCACAGGACTGATCATTTCTGATGTCTGAGAGTAGAAGTTGACCCCTGTCAGTGGACTAGCTAGGTCGCCAGACTCTTAGCGTCCCTTTGGTCACTCATTACCTTCTCCGGAGGGAAGTTTGTATTGAGTATTAATACCGCCCAAACAGACTTAAAGGCTAGAGCGTTTCTTAGCATTTTAGGAGTGAAAACCCCCTTTGAGCTGTAAAGTATTACCATTCCCGTTTGTACACTCCCTTCTCAGCGTTTTACACTTCAGATTTTAGGGAAGTCACAGACCTACTAAAACCTATTTATTAATCTTTGGCCCACTCCTTGTTTTTACCTCATACAACCCTGTGTTTCTTCAGAACCTTTATGACGTATAGCAAAATGGTTTATAATTGAGTGGTTAATGTCTTTTGGCCCCTGCTAAAATGTAATGTCTGAGGGGAAAACCAATTATATCTTACCTGTACCCAGTCAAAGTACCTTGCAAGTCACCTGTGGGTTACATTTTAATTAAGTGGATAAAGTCCGTGCAGTGACTAGTTGGAGGCTGAAGTGACATATGAATCCAGGTATTTGAAAGAAATAGGCTATAGAATGATTTAGAGGTGAAAGCAGTCAAGGAAACTAGCATTATTGTTACTGTTATGGTTTGGATCTAAAATGTCTTCCAAATCAGGTGCTGCTATCTCAACATGGACCCAGAAGCAAAGGAACCAAGTGAGCCAAAGAAACCATTCCTCCTTTAAGTTATTTTCTCAGTTATTTTGCCACAGTGAAGAAAAGTTGACTAAAACAGTTATATCTTTTCTCCTTTGGAGACTGGAATAACCTGCCAGTGTTGAAGTATTTTCTCCCACACTGAATATCTAATCCTATCCTCAACTAAATCTAGTCTTTTACTTATTATGTATCTCAAGGACTCATGCCTCCAACCATCCAGTCAACTAAGCAAATCTTCCCTGGCATCTTACCCTCCCGTTCCAGTCAGTCACCCCTTCAGCTCACTGCTCTTTTTCTACTGCAATTACCCTGATAACTCCAGCTCCCTTGTTTAGATCTGCACTAGTCTTCAGCTGGAAGTTTGAGTCCCCATCTTTTGCCAGTTCATCCCTGATCCTAGACCAGCAATGGCAAATCTTTTAGAGTTTTCAATGATACAAACAGCCCATTGTGAGATGTGTGTCATAGGTTCACCACCACTGTCCTAGACTATCTTCCCCACTGGCTGCCGGAATATGCTGTCCAAGTCACAAATCTAACTGCACTGGTTATTTTCTTATATTCTTCAGTGCCTCTTTACCTTTGGGATAAATGCCAAATAATTTTTTAACTTTGGCATATGAGGTCCTTATTAACTGGAGCCTGCCCTCTGCTTTTCCTTCCTGTTATCTAGTTCCTTGTGCTCCAGCTAGGGACTAACTTTATTTCCCAACATTTACATTGTTCTTTTAAATAGTCGTACTTTTGTTTCCATACTTCCTCTTCTAAGATTGCTTAGCTTCTTGCCTGGTTACCATCCATTTGACACAGTTCATATTCTAACACTAATGAGAAGCTTTATACTACCTGACACACCTTTCCTCCTCTCTCTTCGTCTCCATTTTGTACATGTATCTTTGAGGGCATTCAGCACAGGGAACTCTGTTGGGCTGGGTTTTTTTTGTTTTATTTTGTTGGTTTTTTTCCATTTTGGGGGGACTTTGGGTTTTTTTAGTCTTTTTGAAACAGGGTTTTGCTATGTATTTCAGGTTGGCCTTGAACTCTCTTTGTAGCCAGGGCTGGCTTCAAACTCACAGTGATCCTCATACCTCAGCCTCTCAAGTAGTGGGATTACAGGCATGGGCCATCATGCCTGGCCTGGGCTGCTTTTTATATCTGTTGAATTTGAATGCCAACTCACTACTTTTCAGAAGTCAGACAAGTGGATGCACTACCATTTGGCTTCCCATTATTAAATTCAGTCCTGATTTTGTCTAGTTGGTTTCTTCCTGAAATTCTCCCCATGGTAGCTGAAATACCACCACTGTTTTGTTTTCCTCCTTTCTAAGCACTCATTATCTCTTTGACAGTAATCTTTTACCAAATAATTTCTAATTCTACTATAGGCTTTTCAAAATATACATTGTAGTCATATTCCCCTGAAGATACAAATGTTAAAAGTTTCCCAGATGTTCTCATGAGCAGCCATGCTTGGAACCAGATTTTCCAGTTCTTACACATTAAGAGTTCCTTGTGTCCAAAGCCTCCTGCCCTTTCCAGTCTGTACTCTCCCTTAGCCATTTACCAATTCTTGGGGCCTCTTTACCATCTAAATGGAGCTTACTTTCTGATTTGCAGCTCTTACCTGGTGTATTCTCTAAAGATGCATACCTAGACATAAAATTTACCACCCAGATATATATAAACTCAGATGCTGTATTGCTCAGCTTTACCATTGCTGGGAAAAATACCTGACATACATGATGTGGAGAAGAGGTTTATTTGGCTCACAGTTTTGGAGGGTTCAGTCTGTTGTGCACAAGCTACAAAGCAGAAACATACTGATAGAAAGACATGGGAGAGGAATTCTGCTCAACTCATGGGAGTTGAGAGATATACCTTATATTTTCAGTGACCCACCTCGAGCTGAGTCCCATCTCTTAACAGCACACTGAGCTGTGAATATCAGTGGTTTAATCCAGTGATGAGTATAGTGCTCCCAGGATCTCATTACTTCTCCAGAAATCTCCTAATTCAGTCAAGTTGACAATTAAACTCAACTGCCACAGATGCTTCCAGACATCTTGCACTCCACATAGAAAAACAATTTATCATCCTCCTGCTCCTCCAGTGTTTTCTATCTCAGTAAATGCCATGTTTACCCAACAGTTGTTTAAACTAAAATCCTGACAGTTTCTCATGATACTTCCCCTTCAGCTGTCTCTATCCATAGCCCTATTCCAGCCACCATCATTGGTCACTCTTGGACTGGTACATCATCTTATGAATTGTTTTCCTGCTTCTACCTGTGGTCTCTCCAACCGGGTCACTATTTGGCATGATCCCTTTGAAGACAAAATTGTGCATTTTTCAGATCATGTCTCCTACTCTAAACCCTTTAGTGGCTTTTTGTAGCTCCTGGAATGAACCTCAAAGTCCATAAGATGGTTTCAAAAGCTTTCAGAGACCTGCCATCTCTTCAACCTTAACCTCTGCTCCAAGTCTTTGCATTCCTGGAAGCTAAGTTTTCACTTTTATCAGTCCCAAGGAACTAGGTCCCTTTCTACCTCAAAGTCTAGACACACATTGCTCTTTCTTCCTGGAAGGTACGTTTCTTCCACTGCCACCCTTCGGTGGTCTCATTAACTTCCGTATGTTGTTTTTTTTTTTTTTTTTTAATTTTGTCTTTTTGACACAGGGTCTCACTATGTAGTTCAGGCTGGCCTTGAGTACACTTTGTAGCCCAGGCTGGTCTCAAACTCACAATGATCCTCCTTCCTCTGCCTCCCAAGTGCTGGGATTACAGGAGTGTGCCACCACGCCTGGCTACTTTCTATCTTTTTATCTTGACTGATATGCTACTTTTCAGCCGTCCCTACCCAGCTGGTTCAGTTCCATGTACTCATCAGTCTTGATCGACCAGAACCTGTTGATTGCCTTTCATATGATTATTCCTGAGCCTGGAGATAAATACAAGCAAAAGAACTATTCTTAGTCCTTGTCCTCAGAGAACCCCCAATCTAGTAATGAAGGAGACACCTTCTATTTGTCTTCGCAGCTGGCATATGCTTTCAGTGGACAGTTGCCAGAATCACCAAGGATTGAGAAGCAGAGCATCCACAGATAATAGTAACAATAAGTATAAGAGAAATGCATGAGGACATCCAGGCGAGGGAGCAAGTATTTTGAGCTGTTGAGAAACCTGCTCCGTATCCATCTTGGTAGCACCAGTCACTGCCCAGTGTTCACACAGAGAAGAACTCTATATACTCTTCTGCATGTGTGACTCACATGTTTCCTTATACCTAAATTAACATTGATGATCCATATTTTGCCAGCATGCATGTTGACACGGGCTAATAAGCCTCCTCCAAATTCCCTCTGTTATCTTTGAGTACTTGCAAAATATGTCTCACCTCTGCTGCAGTGTGAGCCCTTTTGTGTGCTATCTGTTCAGCCTCTTTGCTTGTGCCTGTGGCACCCCTGTTCTTCACCAGTGCCACATTCTTTTGCCAAAGACTACTGGAGTTGGAGCCACTGTGGGATGCTGATGACATGACTGAGGTGCCTCAGCCAGAGTCTTGATCCCAGTTAAGACTTAAGGATCATGAATGAATAATGTACCTGTTGAGCTTCTCCATATCGTTTGAGCCACATAGTGCCTAGTTTATTGTCTCAAAAATCTCAGGAAATGTAGTGGATATTTGAAATTGTGCTGCTGCTGGATGGAAGATACAGTGCATATCTTCTCTTGATAACATCTGTGAAGTATGCTAGTCACTGCTTACAGTATAAAAATGGCTGCTACAGTTGATACAGGGCTCCTTGGTGAGAGGAAGAAACCTGAAATTGCTTCAGTCAAGACTTTCAAAATTGCCAGCTCACAGCTACTCAGAGAGGCAGCGTAGTGTGCACTGTATATTCTGAGCTATGATATGTGCAGCTAAAACCAAACCTACTGGAATGAGAAGCTGATGAGATCACTCACAGTCGTTTCAAGAGTAAAAGAGCAGCACTTCTTGGCTTACCTCTGTGAGGGATCTTCTGGAAGTAGACCCCCAAAGTATATGA